ATAAAATTAAAATGTGATATATTTAGGGATAAATTTTACAGAATATGTTTTAAGACCTGTAGAAAACTATAAAATATAAAACATTGATGAGAGAAAATCAAAGAAGAGACTAAATAAAGGAATTGGTGGTAATAATAATAATAAAATAAATGAAGAGGTTACCATGCTCAGGGTAAAAGATCTTATTTAAGGCATCAGTTCTCCCCCAAATCAGTCTCCCTTCAGCACACTCAATCCCAGTAAAATTTCCAACAGACTTTTTTTTTGTGGACAGATATTGACAAGTTAATACCAAAATTTTTATGGAGATGTAAAGGATCTAGAATATCCAAAATAACTTTTATCAAGAAAAATAAAGTTGGAGGACTTACCTGATTTTAAAACTTACTACAAAGTTACATTAATCAGGATAGTATGATATTGGCAGATAGGAATGGATATATAGATAATAGAATAGAATTTAGTATGAAATAAACCCACACATATGGTCAGTTGATTTTTATTTTATTTTTTGAGGGGGCCTGAGATTTTGATCACCTTTTAAAAATGTTTTATATTATAGTATACATAGAGAAAAATGCACACAGTCAATTGATTTTTAGCAAAGATAACAAGTCAGCTCAATGAGGAAAAGATAATCTTTCAACAGTTGGTGCTGGGATAATTGGATGTCCATGTGCAAACAATTTAACTTCAACTTGCATGTCGTGTCATATGTAGTCATTAGCTCAAAATGAATGGGAGACTCAGTTGTAAAGGCTAAAACTATAGAAGCTCTATAGGAAAATGTAAGAGAAAAATCTTAGTGATTTCGGTTTAGGCAAAGATTTCTTAAACAGGACACAAAAAAGCACAAAGCGAAAAAAATTCATTACTTAGCCTTCAAAATTAAAAACGTTTGCTTTTTGAAAGACATAATTAAAGAAATGAAAAGCAAGGCACAGACTGAGAACAATAATTGCAAAACATATACCTGATAAAGGACTTGTACCCAGAATATAGAATGGACTCTTGCAGCTTAATAATGAGAAAAAAAACATGGGCAGAAGATTTGAACAGACACTTCTCCAAAGGGATAAGAAAATGGTCAATAAGCATGGGAAAAGATGTTCAATTATTTAACATTAGGGAAATGGAAATCAAAACCACAGTGGAGATAGACCACTGTGCACCTATTAGAGTGGCTAAAATTAGGGTGCCTGGGTGGCTCAGGCAGTTAAGTGCCTGCCTTGGGCTCAGGTCATGATCCCGGGGTCCTGGGATCAAGTCCCGTGTCGGGCTCCCTGCTCAGTGGGGAGTCTGCTTCTCCCTCTGTCCTTTCTCCCTGCTCGTGCTCTCTTTCTCTCTCTCAAATACATAAAGTCTAAAAAAAAAAATAGAATGGCTGAAATTAAAAAGACCAACCATATCATCAGGCAATGATAAGGAAGAACTGGAACTCTTATATCCCGCTGATAGAAATGTAAAATGGTACAGACCCTTTGAAAAACATTAGCAGCTTATTTAAAAGGGAGACATACACTTGCCATATGACTCACCTTTACCCAAGGGAAGCAGGAACACAGATGTACACAAAGACTTTGATGCAAATGTTCATAGTAGCTTTATTAATAATAGCCCAAAACTGGAAGGAACCCAAATATCCATCGGCTGAGGAATGGATAAACAAATTGTGACATATTCGTACGATGAAATATTGCTCAACAACAACAAAAGGATTGAACTGTGACCTGCTGATAACCCACAATAACATGGATAAATTTCAAAAGCATTCATGCTAACTAAAAGAAGCCAGAGACAAAAGTCTACAAACTGAATTATATCATTCATGTGAAATTTTGGAAATGGTGAAACTATAGTGACAGAACTTTGTGCATACATGGTATTTTTCTTTAAAAAAGGGGGGGGGGAAGCAAATGAATGGTAGGTTTTTTTGACCACCTGTGTATCACAGCAGAGGGCATACTGCTGTATTAAAAGTGCATGAGAAATCAAAAATTTGCCATAATCACCCAGTGAATGAAGTAGTTGATTAAGTTGAATTTTTACTATTTGGGGTCAGTGAAATGTGACTATAACATACTGAGATTTTTTGTTCTGGCACCCTCAGATGGGCTCTGAGAAAACTTCTAGATAGCTAGTACCAAAAATGATGTCCTTACAGCTTCATCATTGGAATAAACTTATAACCTCTTGAATTTAGTCCTTTAAGGGTACAAGTGTTTTGAGAATGATCTTTTTTTTCCCCTCAAAGATAATTGAGTTTAGTTTTCCTTTTTTTTTTTAAGATTTTAGTTTGTTTATTTATTTATTTATTCATATGACGGGGGGCAGAGCACAAGAAGGCAGAGCGGCAGGCAGAGGAAGAGAGCACAGATTGGCGGGGTGGGGGGCAGAGGGAGAAGCAGACTCCCCACTGAGCAGAGAACCTGAAACGGGGCTGAATCCCAGGACCCTGGGATTATGACCTAAGCCGAAGGCAGACCCTCAACCTAATGAGCCACCCAGGCGCCCCTAGTTTTCCTTTTTAAATTACTTTTTTTTTTAAACAGTCACTTCGGACTTTTGCTGGTAATAGCCAGTAATATCTGATTTAATTTTCAGATAAAGAGCCAAAGTCAGGAATCAAAGGAACCAGCCCAGTGGCTGCAAAGCACTCCTGAACATTGACTCAGGATGACCAACAGCCCAACAGCTCCCCAGGCAGGAGCCCCAGAAAGGATAAGAAATAATTTTCTAATAAACAGAACTGTCTGAATTGACATGGACTACTTGGGGATAGGTGAATTCCACAAGGTTCAAGTGGTGACTGCAGACTCCATTGTCAGGAATGCAGGGGAGAAGTTTCAAGCATCTGATGAGGTGTTAGGCCGATGGGAGTGCTCTGTGGGTACACGGCTGGAGCCTCGCTCCCGAAAGGGCTTCCAGCTGGAACCGTCCTGAGCTTCACGTGAAAGGCTTCTTCCAGCTTTGGATCTTGTGGATGTTTGGATAAAAGCCTTCTGTGGCATGCCATTTGAATTCAGTTTTCAGGACAGCAATCCCCTAACCTGTTGTTAAAGATGTTATAGAGCGTCACTATACAGTTCTGAAAGATACCATCCTGTACGGGTTGAAAACAGCCCCAGAGATCATCTACAGTAAAGCAAATGTGCATATTCCTGTTTGCTTCGAGGCTACCGAATACCTTTTCCTGACACACCGAGTTTTCTGGAAAATAATTGAAGAATTGCCCTTGTTATTGGTTTAATGGAAGAGATTGCTAGATCTCAAGTGCAGACATATATCTTGGGGTAAACGCCGAAAGGCAGAGTTCTTTTTCCGGAAGCACTCATGGCTTAAAATAATATATTCAGTACTTAAAAGAGCTAGCATCTTCTTCCAAATAGCCTGGCAGAAGAGGAGAAAGCCCCAGTTGGTCGGGTTTGGCAGTGCCTGGGCCACTGTGTTTGGGACACCATCTTTAAAGTAGAAGAAGATTCATTTCATAGTCAAGCAGGGAAGGTGAAGCATACTTTAGGATGGAGTATTTAAATGCCCCCCTCCTTAGAAGTTGAGAGAGCATTAACACCGATTCTTCTCACGAAATTAATCCCTATTGTAGTCCTTCTACTTATTTGTTCAACAAATATTTAGCAAGCACCGCGGAGGATTGTCCTGTGGGAGATGGTGTGAGGGGCACAGATACAAACGGGATACCAGCCTTAGCCTGAAGTAACTCGAAATGTATTTGGGGCAGACAAGATAGAAAAGGAAGCAGCTCCAGGAGTGTGTCTGAAGCATGCCAGTTGAATGGATTAGGGAATAGGCACAGTGGAGGTCAAAGGAAGGAAAGGATATTGCTTTTGAGTTATTTAAGGGAAGAGTGGTTTCTATGAGCTAAGCAAGTTGCCGCAAGGAAGGGAACAAGCGTATTCTATTTGGCAGAAATGTCAAGGAGAATGAGAGGCAATTGCTTTGGCGATTAGGATCTCGCTGTTGACCTTCAAGAGTAGGACTTTGAGGAGAACATGCTATCGGAAGCCAGATTGTAGTGAGCTACAGGGCAGGTGTATTTGGGGAAATGGAGGATTGGTCCCTCATTGAAGATATCTGCTAGTCAAGGGGGAAAGTACCACAGAGTCAATGAGATTTTTTTCCTTAGAAGGAGAAATTATTATTTTGAAAGCAGAGTCGAGTGGGTTATTGAAGGGAGAGGTTAAATATGTTTGAAAGGGAGTAATTGCATTGCAAGATCCCAGGGAGAAAAATGTTAATAAAGGAAAGAACCACGGGATAATTGATAGTATTTTTGATAGGGAAATGAACTGCCATAATCTGTATTTTTGCATTTTATGTAAAGACATAACATTAAGAAACTGAAATATCATTAGTGCTTAGTAGTTCAAGTAAGAAGTTGGGCAGGAAGAAAGATTAAAAGTAGTTCCATATTTAGAGTCTCGTTCTTTAAAGAACATTAATGATTTATACCCTCTGGTAGTCATTTAGCGGGATTATTCCTTATCTTCCAATGGAACACTAAGAAACGCACACTGAAGAGAGTCGTTTTCCTGGACCTCCCCTCTGCCTCTTACATCCGTCAGACTTACTGCCCGAACGCGCCAGAGCTTGTCATGCTAACCACCATTTCACATCACTGGTTGTTGAATGAGGTTGGGAAGGAGAGGCCCCATGGTGGATGAGACTTACCATCCCCATGAAGCTTGCTTTACTACAGGACAGTTTTCCAAGAGCTCTGTCACTGAGGAGGAAGCGAGTTTAATCACCCACAATGACCACCACTGTGGAAGATGTTGGAGGGCTAGCCAAGACACCGGGAGAATATTTGTGTGGGTGCATTGTGTGTGCTCACTGAACCTTCTGAATGTGTATTCCATGACACTACCTCCTCACCATTTGAGATCACTGTTCATGCCTCTGGCTCCTTCAGAATTCAGTGAGTCATTTAAAGGTGTTTTTCTCCCTAAAGGACCTCACAGTGTTACCCTTGTCCTCCTCAGACACAGGTGTGTTTGCCGTGGTGAACAGCCATTCCTTGTCTCTGCTCGGGAAGCTGACGATCAGCGCGGCCTTTAACGTGGTGTACATCTACACCTCTGAGCTGTACCCCACAGTCATCAGGTGCGCCTCACACATCCTGCATGTTTTGCTGTAGACGCTTGCAGCGGCAGAGGGATGGTTCTCGTTTCACCGGGACCATAGTTAGTGTGGGCCAGCAACGATTCAGCAAGCAGTCCTAAGCCCAGAAACTGCCTGTGTAGACCACACTCGGCCCACTTGGCTGAGGAAAACGTAGCTGTATTTTGGGCTGAACTCCCTTGTGTAAATCATGAGGGAAGTCCTCTACACTGAACACATGCCATCACCCAAAGAGTGCTCGGATGCCATCTTGATTTCAGCGGATTGGATTTATTCAGTCACCCATCCTGTGTCAGGCACATGTCAGGCAAGGGGACTAGGTCCCTGTTCTCACAGGACCTACATTTTCATTCAGAATATACACATTGTTAAAAAGATAATTACACTTAGAAGTGATGATGAGGTTTCCATATTAGTTGTTAAATGTGGTTTCTAATGAGGAGGACATGCTCCTATCAAAAAGAACATACTCTGAAGTTTCCCCTCATAAAATAAGTCTGAAAACAAGATGGGAAGGGCAGGGATGTAGTTCAGTCTTCTTAGAACTGCCTCTGAGGGCCGGGCAGGAGCTCCCTGGCTCAGCACTTCCCCAGGCTTTTCAGAGATCATTCCAAATGTTTCCCTCATCCGTGCAAACTGAATGATTCTTTCTGCCTATTAATTTTAAGTCCCTTTTCCTCCAGTTTTTCCCAGGCTGTCTGTGATTGGCTGGTCATTTCCTAATTATTCCTCTGACCTGTTTTCTCTGGCTGCGAGCTGTGATGCTAGGATGACCATTTTGCCATTGCTAACAATTAGGCTGGGGTGAGAGGACGCTGCGTGGCCACCCCACCTCACCCCACCTGTAACCGCTCTCATTCCCGCCCCCTCTCACCTCTTGCATGTCCATACTCCTCACGAAGGTCACGTTCCTGGTCTCCTGAGAATATGTGCTCAATTCCTAGTCATACGCCTGACCCTTGAATCATCAATTTGTTGAATTTAAATAAATGGGCAGACTTCTCAGATCATAAAGGCCTGGCTCTTCGTGGGTATATCAATTCATAGGAAACCTCACACAAAAACCCGTAAGAACATTTGACAAGAAACATTCGCATGGTCATTTCTACAACCATCCTCTATAATAACTGCACTGTCCAGTATGGGAGTTACTAGCCTCATGTGGCTATTTAAATTTAAACTAATTAAAATGAAGCAAATGAAAAACCCAGTTCCTCGTTCTCACTAGCCCCATTTCGAGTGCTAATAGCTGTCTAGAGGCTTCCATATTGGACAGTGCGGTTATAGGACATTTCCAGGAGCTCAGAATGTTCTAGCAGGCAGCACTGCTCGTGCTTCCTCCACCTTGGGATTTATTATTACAGGCCCATTGTCCCACAGGGTCTTTACACTCCTCCCCTCCCCCGCCCCTGCCAGAACTTACTGATTTTTTCCCCCCTTTTTATGCCTTTCAGGAACGTTGGGCTTGGAACTTGTTCTATGTTCTCCCGAGTTGGTGGGATTATTGCCCCCTTCATTCCCTCACTGGTTGGTTTGTACCTCCTAGTTTTGTTTTTCTGGATTCTCTGCTTTGGAAATGCTTGTGCCTTTGAGTAGAAGGTGGTAATGAACAGTTGCCACTTAAGATCAGCCTGCCCCGCATGGGAACCTTGTATCTTTTAGATTACATATCCCTCAGGGCAGATGGGCTTGGACCCAGGATGCTCTTACCCCCGAGGCTCCGCGTGTTTGCTTATCTGCATTCACTGGAGAGTTAGCTAATGCCAGTGTGCCCCTTCCTATCTCCATTCATCAGTTAGCCAGTCAGTGAATATTTATTAAGCTTCTGCAGTGTGCTGGGCTCCGTGTTGAGCACTTCAACACATATCATCTCGAGTAAGCGTCACAAGAACCATGTGAAGCGGGCATGGTTGTTGCCCTCTATTAAAGATGAGAAATCAGCAGAAGCAGGTTAGGTAACTTGCCCAAAGGCACACCACTTACGCAAGAAAATTAGAAGAGAAACATGCCTAGCAGTGTGTCTATTAAAAGTTTTTAGCGTTTCCTAAATGTCGTAGTCAAAAGAAAGGGGGTAGACCTAATGGCAGCCCTGAAAATCCTTCCAGTCTTGAAATGTTCCAGTTCTGTGACGGATTAATCCCTGGAGCCCCTGCTCATGTCTCTGCTGAGCAGACCTATTGCCCTCCCAGCCAGCACTCAACGAGGGGTGCCTGGATGTGCTGTGTAGACAACTGTTCTCCCCACTAGCGATACACCCAGGGGGTTCCCACAGGACCAGCCAGGAGGGTCCTTGGCTTCACGCAGCATGGAAATCAAATGTGAGCCAGCAGGAGGTGAAAGTTTATTGAAGATCTAGAGAGAGCAGATACAGATGGAGTGACTGTCTGGGAGACTCAGAAAGGAAAGGAAGGAGTCTCATCTTTGTCCATGGGGTTGGGAGTGGTCTGGTGTATGTGTCCTCTCAGGCATCCAGGCATCCAGGAACTGGTTAGGACAAAGACAAGGGCCCCGGTGTTATTCCTTGGAGCCAAGGTGTCTTGGCGTGGAGATGTCTAGAATGTCTCCAGTGGTCTGGAATGCGCATATGATAGCTTCACCTGGTTATTGTCACCTGGTCCTTCCTTAGATGTTATCTATTCTAGAGAAATCATTAAGTCCTGGCCTCTTACAAGAAGGACCTCTATGCGATTTGCATTACAAAGCATGTGTAAAGTGGGCTGGGAGTGCAAGTTCTAGCAAGAGGAGAAGCAGGAAAAGCAGCAAAGGGAAAACCAGCTTTTTCTCTCATAGCATCCCTTTGATTTCCCTGTCTCACTAGTACAGGAGGATGTCTCTGAAATACCACTGTGGCCTTTTCTTTCTTTCTTTCTTTTTCTTTCTTTCTTCTTTCCTCCCTCCCTTCCTTCCTTCCTTCCTTCCTTCCTTCCTTCCTTCCTTCCTTCCTTCCCCCTTCCTTTCCTTTCTTTTCCTTCCTTTTCTTCCTTCCTTCCTTCCTTCCGTCCGTCCGTCTTTGACTTGCAGTATACTTCCTTTTCATGAGTATCTCTTTCCATGTTTCGTGCTTAATTTTACACTATAAGACCATTTCTCTAATATAAATTAGTTCCATTCTGCAAAGTGTGTGGACATTAGGGGTTTATCTCTAAAGATCTCCGAATCTGGATGGCTCTCCTAGAACATTAGAATACCTAGCACTGTGCCTCTATTCCTGCTCAGTTGAGAAGAGATGAGAGTGTTGTGTCCCCCTTGATCCAGCAGCACACCCACAGTGTTGGACTTGTGTTTGCATGTGGGCTCCAGAAGTGAGATTCTCCCCTCCCACCTCCATCTCTCGCCCCACTTTGTCCATCATCTTTTTACTTCTGAAAAATCAGGCAGAGGATATCCTAACTAGTAGTGGTCCTATCCACACAATTTGGAAGTCCCAAAGAGAAAAGCATAAAGCTAAGCAACTCCTATACAGGAACTCAAGAATGTTGATCAGCTCAGAAAGGCCCCAGAGTAACACCCCAGTGGCTCGAGAGCAACACAGTTTTCTGTGTCATTATCTTTGAGCCAGTTTGTTTTTCAAGAAACTGTAACTAAATTTTCCTGAGAATGTCTGTCGGATCTCTGAAGCAAAGCTGTATCACCGTGTTCAGGTAGTTTCCAAATCACACGGATGTCCTAGGGTTCTTTAGGGTTTTCTTTTTCTTTTTGGGGTGTTCGTAACTTTAACCCCGTCCTCCGGGCATGTTGCTGAAGCGGGAGAGTGAGGTTCTTGTCTCACGGAGTTGAATGAATCTCCCGGACAAAGGAGAGTGAGGAAAGGGATAGAGTTTTTATTAAGCAAGGATACAATAAAAAAGCTCTCAGCAGTGAGAGGGGCCCCAACAGGATTGCCCCTGAGGGCTTTTAGGATTGGTCTTTTATTGAAAGCTAACCAGGGAACTTAAATCTTTTTAATTTCTCTACTGATAGCACTTTTGTGTAAGGACTAGTGATAACATCTTTAATGGCTTACTTTTTTTAGGGTCTGGTTATTCTCTGTTGGTCCCAGGTGACTGTCATAAAAAAAGACCCCCCTCCTCCGACACCTAGGGCAGGGTGGTCCGGTGTGTTCCCTTATCTCTGGTTTCCTTACACCTCCACATTTTGGGGATTTCTGTGAGCCTGATCACGGGAGCCCCCTCCTTATCTCTCCCTACTAGCCCTGCCTGTCCCTCACTCAGTGCTAAGTGAATCAGCGAGCATACTGATTGGCTGATTCCAGTGTGGAGAACTTGAAAGTTTATGGTGAGCGAGTATTTGGGGTGTCTTCCAAGCGAAGAGTATGTGGAGATACCTGTGTTCTAAGCGAGTTGCCTGCCGTGAAAGCAGTACCCACCCCCCTGCTTCTGATCCGATCCACATACCTCTGCCACCTCTCTGTGTACTCGCTCCCGCTTCTGCGTGCCTGAGCAACCACTCCATGATTTTCCAGGGTAACTCTCCATGGGGAAGGAAGTGGCTTATTGTGTATGCTAGTGGGAATAGTAAACATGGCCATGCCTCGGTCATAAGACTGCTGATGTCACGTGCTGGGAAATGGATACCGAGTTTTTGTATGTTTTTGTTCTACTCCCTGCCCCCACAGAGATACGTGCAGTGGTCTTTACCCTTCATTGTCTTTGGAGCCACCGGCCTGACTTCGGGCCTCCTGAGTTTATTATTGCCGGAAACCCTTAACAGCCCATTGCTAGAGACATTTTCCGACCTTCAGGTGTATTCATATCGGAGGCTGGGGGAGGAAGCATTATCTTTACAGACCTTGGATCCGCCACAGGTATGGCATAGTCTTCATAGTCTTCTTTTTCTTTTTTTAAGATTTTATTTATGGGCGCCTGGGTGGCTCAGTTGGTTGAGCGACTGCCTTCGGCTCAGGTCATGATCCTGGAGTCCCGGGATCGAGTCCCGCATCGGGCTCCCTGCTCGGCAGGGAGTCTGCTTCTCCCTCTGACCCTCTTCCCTCTCATGCTCTCTGTGTCTCATTCTCTCTGTCTCAAATAAATAAATAAAATCTTTAAAAAAAAAAAGATTTTATTTATTTATTTGACAGAGAGACACAGCCAGAGAGGGAACACGAGCAGGGGGAGTGGGAGAGGGAGAAGCAGGCCTCCCATGGAGCAGGGAGCCCGATGTGGGACTCAATCCCAAGACTCTGGGATTATGACCTGAGCCAAAGGTAGACGCTTAACGACTGAGCCACCCAGGCGCCCCAGTCTTCATAGTCTTCTTAATCTTTCAGATGTACCTCTTGGGCTGATGATAGTTTGGGGGGGCGGCAGAAGAATGTTCTGGTTAGATTTAATAAAACCAAGCAAAACTGTTGGAAAACAGAGGTGTGAGATTAATAGCAACTGGTTTTTTAGAGAAATGAAGGTGGCCAGTGATTCATTCACTTTCGTAGAACACTTTAGGGTGAAATCTAGGGGAGATGTCATAAAAATGCATTTGTGGGTTGAGTGCTAGCTAATAATGTTCATTTTAGAAATGTCATGGCGTCATGTGACCATTCTGGTTCTCCTTTCCCCTTTCAGTCTGCAGACAAGGACAACACTTTAGGCAGTGAGAGTGAGGAAGAGGAGTTTTTCGATGCAGATGAAGAAACCCAGATGATTAAGTGAAGAGCCGCGGCTCCCCCCTCACAAGCAGATGATCTCCTTGCCTCTGGCAAAGGCAGGCTTTTCCAGGAAACATAAGAGTTGTAGAAGCACAGGCTTGAACATGCATGGAAGGTCCTCAGCATGGGCTCATTTTTTTCAGGCACAAAGGACGGTGGAGAAGAGATTTCATGAGTGAGGACATCACGGTACCAAGGGAACAGTCGTTCCTTAGTCCACAATTCAGGTTTATTTCCGAACCATGGCTTCTGGCCAGATAGCTCAAATCTGCACGCCAGAGTGGAAAGCTAATTTGTTTCTGGAAGTCTGACTGTGTTGCTTATCCTTGATCATGACCTAAAGGCAGACATGTAAAATTCCTTCTCACCTCGTTAGTGGGATGAGATAACCCATCCTTAAGATTTCATTCTAATACCATATTTGACGTCTACCGCCATCATCTGTGCCTCACCAGGAATCTCTTGAGGCCGGCTGTTGTTCGCATTCCAGTTTTTTGCCAGAGGAAAAGCGCTGAGAGGTGATTGTATGTGGCCCAAGGCCTCCAGCTTTACCCTAACTGTCCACCCCTTGCTTCCCAAGCTCAGGGTTGACTTGAGCTCCTCGTGCCTTGAGTCCCACAGACGATCGCCTAGGAAAAGCCAACTGTACTGAAGCGATTTTCTGAGAGCCCGAGGTGTGGCTGCAGTTCCCTGTCCACTCCCTTTGACAGTTCAGACCTGTGTGCGTCTCCAGAAACTGGTCCATCTCAGATTCCAGTACCAGCACTCACTTCAGAACCGTGCTCGGTAAGGGATGAAGCTTTGTGAAGGCGGAGGGCAGTTGCAGAGTGACAGTCATGTTGGCACTTGAAAGGGGGCAGCTTTTATAAGGAAGAAAAGAAAATGATCTGTCACGGGTTTTTGTTTGTTCTGTTTTTGGCGTTGTGCAACGAGGCACTTGGGCAACCATTAACTTGAACACTTCTGATCCCAGATCAGTCCCTGCCTCTGTAGTCAGAGTGAAAAGCAAGTAATTTCATAGGAAATGTGGCTTTTTTCATGAAGTACTGCCAACTTTCAAATAAGTCTGTCACACTTAAGTTTTCTAAAATCATATGCTGGAAATACCTGTTTCCCTTGAAACTTGAATGCTATCTCAAGTAGGAGTATTACCCTGGAATCAACAAGTTTGTGCAATATGGCCTAAGGCTGCTTTCCCAACAAGGAACATTTCTGTGTCTTCAGAATTTCCGTTTTACTAACTCTGGGAGAAAGAGAAGTTGCATTGGAGGTAAAGAGAAGACGTCATGGGGCCTGCTTCTGGAAATCTTGGAGGCATCACCCCCAGTTGGCTCTGACACTTTCCCGTCCTCTTCCATGCTAACCTCTTGGTTTGCACTCTTATCAGTCTGTACCTTTGTATTTGTTAAAGTATTTTTATGTCTTTTATGCCCTTGATGATATTTTGAGCTCTTCATAAATAAGGGCCATCTCTCCTGCTGTTTGTTTCTCCCTGCTATGCCCAGAAGAATATGGGCCTAGACACAATAAGGATTTAATAAATATTACTGTTTCTAACCATCAAGAAAACTGTGGAACTCCTTGCAGTATCATTTTTATAAATCCCAGGCAAATGCAACCCAAACCCCCAAACTGTGGAATCCTGCTTGTCCATCTCTGGCAGATGGAGACCCTGCCCCCGACCAGGAGAGGAAGAGAGGAGGAACTTACAAGGACACTTAGAAGGTCTTCTTAGTGGTTGGGCATTAAAAATAAAACACTGAACTAGCATATATGTGCTCTTTGGTCAGTTGGAGCGCTCTTTGCATTATGAGAGTAATACGTCCCATTATAGAAAATTTGGAAACTAGAAGTTAAAAAATCTATCACCCATAGGCCCAACACCCAGAGGCAACCAGTGTGATGGCTTCTTTCTAACTGAAGACCAGTTGGGAATCTATCTCTCTGTTGGCACTGGGGTTCCCTCTGCCTCTGGCTAAATAAATGAGGATTCCATTAGTTCTATCCCTGGGTCTCCTGCTTCCCCAGCTGTGGGGTGGAAAAAGGGAAGGGGGTTATACATGTTGCCTAATAAGGCCAGGCAGGCTACCAACTGCTCGAGTCAGTGTGTCACTGATAAGGTCGTCGTTTCTTTCTAGATGGTCCTTTGGTGAAGTTTAATATTTACTGTTTTTTCGTTCTACCACCTTTTATAAAGAGATTTTTTTCCTTTTGATATTAAATGTTGAAGAATAGTGATTATAGAGAATGTGTACCTGTGTATATTTGCACTGATTAAATGACTGGAAAGCTTTTAATTTACAGGGAACATAATTTGTACAAATGATTTGTAAAAAGCATCTTTTTTTATTCAAAATTAAATTTCTCCTCAAAAACAGCAAGAAAAATGTAAGACACATAAGAAACCCCCAGTTTCTAGGGTCAAAGGTCTTAGAACAACTTGTCCAGAACCTTGGTACCAATATGTTAAAAGAAACAGTGTTGTAGTTTCCTGATTTGGTGAGTTAAAACCAGTGCCCATTGAAAATGCAATATTTGTCATTTGGCTGCTTTCCAGCAATATAGACATTCTTTAGTATTTAAAAATAAGCAGATAAAATACAACAAATAAGAAGCAAATGAAAGTTTCTGAGGCACTGCTTAAGTGAATATAATCTGGGCAGGTATTTTTGTGGAGGTCAAATTGATGAAGGTACTGTTAGTAGATTTATATTCTTTTTTTTTCCTAAGATTTTATTTATTTATTTGACAGAGTGAGAAAGCACAAGCAGGGGGAGCAGCAGAGGGAGAGGGAGAGGCAGGCTCCCCACTGAGCCAGGAGCCTGATGTGGGACTCAGTCCGGGAACCCGGGATCATGACCTGAACCGAAGGCAGACGCTTAACCGACTGAGCCACCCAGGCACCCAGTAGATTTATATTCTTAACAAAAACATTGAAGTAATTGTCACTAGCATATCAGAATTATTATCTTTTTCAAGATTTTATTTATCTACTTGAGAGAGAGCACACAAAAGCGAGCGGTGAGGGGTCGGGGGAGGGGCAGAGGGAGAGGGAGAAGCAGACTCCCTGCTGAGCGTGGAGCCCAATGGGGGCTCGATCCCATGACCTGAGCTGAAGGGAGACGCTTAATCAACTGAGCCACCCAGGCACCTGCATATCAGAATTAAAATACAGCTTTCCAATAGGACTTACTCTTCCATTACAAATTCTTATTAGATCATTGGTTCTGAGATTGGAAAGTTATCTATAGAGAATTTTTTTTTTTTTTAAGATTTTGTTTATTTATTTGAGGCAGAGAGAATGAGAGAGACAGAGAGCACATGAGAGGGGGGAGGGTCAGAGGGAGAAGCAGGCTCCCCGCCGAGCAGGGAGCCCGATGCGGGACTCGATCCCGGGACTCCAGGATCA